AGGGGTGGAGCTGGGGATGAGGGGGGCTGCCCTGGGGGGGTGCAGGGGCCTACTGGAGCTCCTGTCCCCCTTTCCCAGCCCGCCCAACCCCTCTCCCCACAGGCAGCGCTGTCAGGGTGGTTGGGGCAGACGAGCACATGGAGACCCTCTTCCAGAGCAACCAGAAGAAGAAATGTCTGGATGTGTACTGGCTCTTCGATGATGGGGGTGCGTGGCGCAGCTCAACCCCAGCCAGCCCCTTGACCAGGGGCCGGTTGCAGCCAGCGTCCTATTTCTGGCTCCTGGAATGGGGATGCCTGGTCCCTGCTCGGGACTCTTCCCCGCCGCCCAGCCCGCCAGGACTCTCCACGAGCAGGGCTGGTCCCACTGCCTCGGCACAACACTGTCATGCAGCTGGTTGTGCACAAGGGCTGCGCTGTGCTTGCAGGCGGTGCTAGCCCAGGCCGGGGAGGCGCGCAGTGCTGGGCAGCCGGGACCTCTCCCCAGAGGGAGCTGGTCCCCCAGACACTCCCTGTCCCCCGTTCCTGCAAGCACTGGAGGAGGCTTCTGAGCTCTCCTTGGCCTGCATTGATCCTGGGCAGGCATCTCATTTCCTGCCTTCAGATCATCATGAGGACATAGGTGTGACTCACTGGGCTGACCAAACCATCACATGCCCCATTGCCAACTGCAACTTAGCCACATCCTCTATAACTTCCCCCTGCCTCTGCCTCACTCAATTCCATCTGGACACCAGTATTCACCACACCCTGGCACTGGGCGCTGTGACCCCCATGTTATCCAGAGGGAAACAGTTCAGAACAAGCCGGGGGCAAGGAGGAACCCAGGAGTCCTGGCTTCTAGCCAGCCCCGCTCGAGCCCACTCTGCCAGGGCTGGATAAAACCTAGGAATCCTGATTTCCACCCCCAGTTTAATGCGCTAGATCTTGGCCAGCCCATCTTGCTAATCCTCTCTCCCCCATCCAGGGCTGACCCTGCTCATCCCGTATCTGCTGACGCGCCGGAAGCGTTGGAGCCGCTGTAAAGTCCGGGTCTTCATTAGCGGCCAGCTGGCCAATGCTGAAGAGCAGCGGGAAGAGTAAGGAGGGGACCAGTGGGCAAGGACCCTCTGAGGGTGACCCCCAAGCTCTGGGCAGAGGCAACACCCCTGCCCTAACCCACCAGATCCCACTCGTCCCCCAGCAGAGCTGGGAGGATCCAAGGACTCTGGTGCCCAGACCCCACCGACCTGACCGCGTGAAACCCCATGTCCTTTCCAGAGCTGGGGTATATCCCAGAGAGAAACCGCCCAGTGGGACTCGGTGCCAACTCCTACCTGCTGTCCAAGCATGCAGGCCTCCCTCTGGGGCTGGAGGACTCCCTGGTGCTGGGCCTGTGACACATCCCTTCGGGCGGCTGGGCTCTTCCCTGCAGAGGAGTAGCCCCGGCTGGCCCCAGTCTGGCCTCTCTCTCTCCCTCTGCCTGATTTCTCTCCGTCTCCATGGCAGGATCCAGCTCCTCCTTGCCAAGTTTCGCTTGGGTTTCAATGAGGTGGTCGTGCTGCCTGACATTGCCTGGAAGCCAGAAGAGAGCAGGTGGGAAGCCCACTCCTCCCTTCATCCTGCTTCCCCAGTATCCACCTAGCCGAGGGCACTGGAAAGTCCCGCAAACACCCGTCGGTGTGAGGAGCGGGGGTAGTGGGCTAGAACAGAGAGCGGGGCCGACGAGCCAGGGTTGTCACCACCTCTGGAAGAGGAGCGAGATCAAGCAGGTCCAAGCAGGAGGCGGCAGAGAATCGAGACCCGTGTTCCCTTCAGATTCTCTATTGATGCCATTTCGGCCCCAGAGGTGGGGATACAGTCCAGGGATCCTGGCCCCCAGTCCCCTTAGGAAGCAGGCTACCACTTACCCTACTGCAGTCGGGACCCCCCGGCTCCATCCCAGGGGCCTTGGTGAAGACAGAGCTGTCCCAGCACCCTCCGCTTTGCCTGGCAGCCAGAAGGAGTTTGAGGACCTGCTAGCACCGTACCGGCTGAACGAGGGTCAGCGGGACCCTGAGGCGGTGGAAGCCCTCAAGAAGGAGGCACCCTGGAAAGTGTCGGATGAAGATCTCCAGATCTACAAGAAGAAGGTGAGAACCCGGGGAGCCGGGACACCTGGGATCTGCCCCAGCTCTAGTGGGCTAGAGCAGAGCAGTCCAACATCCTAGCAGCGGTCACAGCCCCCCACCTCCCCAGCGGCAGGCTCCCTTATTGCACTGTGCTGCAAGCTTCGCCAGCATGGCAAGGGCAGGCAACTGAGCACCTGGACAGGCCCCCCCATCACTGTACTGCATGCACAGGCAGGCCCCCTCCCCAAGCGCTGCAGGTGTCTCTGAGGGCAGGGGCAGAATGCAAATGCCAGAAAAGGAAGGAAAGCCCAGAGACCCCGGGTGCAGCAGCAGTCGGGGTAATGGGGGGAGCAGGGGGGCTCACCATGCCAGCCCCTTCATGACCCTTGCTTTGTCCCTCCAGTCTGAGCAGCAGATCCGGCTGCATGAAATCCTGCAGGAGAACTCCCGAAATTCTGCCCTCATTGTCATGTAAGTCCGAGCCCCTTCTCTTCCTCCCCGGGATTGGACGCAGCCCACCCTCCCAGCAGGAAGAGGAACTGGGGGAGGGAGGCAGGACAAGGCGGGGGGTGATTGAGGGCTGCTGGCCACGGGCTGGGGCAGACTGAGCTGCCCATAAAGGTCTGGGAGGATTCCTTATGGGAGAGATCTCTCCTTCCCCAGAGTCCCTTCCATACAGGCCAAAGAAGGGATGGAGCTTGACAGCGGGAGCTAAAGAAAGCCCTTCTCCCCAGACCTTTCTTGTGAGGAAGGGAGAGCAGGGTATCTCCCAAGAGCACATTCAAATGCCGCGGTTGGCAACTTCTCAGAGCCACGGGCTGGAACAACCAGGCTGGGGGCTAAGGTGGGATGGTGCCCACACCTGGCTGCTGCAGCCTGTCTCTTCCCTGCCACCTCTCCCTACACCTGAAATGCAGGGACAGCAAAGCCCCTGGCCAACGAAGCCCCGCCGGCTGCACAGGCTGGACCCAGTGGCACGGGCGTATGTTGCCAGTCCCTATTGTAAAGGATCTGAAACAGGCAGGTGCTGCCATTTTCAAAATGAATTGTTTCCGGGTTGTTTTTTTCCCTGTGGGTTGAAAGTCCCTTCTTGATTTTTAAGCATTTTAACAAGCTGAAAACCCAAATGCAGCGGGTCAGTTTTGTCAAAATAAAACACCTCAATAGCCTTTTCTCTGCTAGAAACTTCTCTCAGGGTCAAAAAAAAATCCCCTTAAATCCTGTTGTTAAAAGCTCAGCAGCTGAAACCCATTTGTACCAAATGAGGAAGTTCAGCCTTTTTTTTTTTTTTTTTTT